ATTGACAGGAGGTTAATTAAGTATTTGGGAAATATTTTTTTTAGCTTTTGATAAAGAATTTGAAATGCTACCTGAGTAAGTTTCTAAGTGAACTGATGTAATGCAAAACAGCTAGGTTTTGCATTAAAATTTTGTATCTCAAATTTGTTGAAATACCACTTTTTAAAATTTATTTTGAAACTCAAATTTTAAGTATTTTCATCTAGTGAAATTAATTAATTCTGAAAAATCTTGCCGATATTAAATTGAATGCACCCTGTAAATTCAAAAAAAAAAAAAAAACCAAAGAATGGTATTTTTCAATACACTGATCAGCCATATTGGATTAAGAATTTGGCTAAATGATAAAACCAAAGAAAAGGCAACAAATGTTATTCTTTTCTCATGAAGCAGGCGGTACTGTTAAATGACTGGAAAATAATGGAGATAGCACCCCTCATTAGAATCCTGCCAATAATGACTGGAGCAGACAGACACCATGTAGTGCTGTCCCAGGCTCTTACTCCTGGGGATCTAAGGAGATTAACCCCCAATCTAGCTAATTTACACCATTTTCAATTTCAATGGCATCCAATACACAGGGTTGAAAACGTGAAGTTTGTATTTACCCTTGTTTGGGTTTACAGGTATTTGATGAGGGACATGCCTATAAACTGAGTGGACTGGGGGAGTGTTGTATACATATAAATACATATAAAAGTACTGGGCAGTGGTGCTATACCTATAAAGGCTTTGTTCACTTTATTAGCACTTCAGACTCTTTGTCACCTTTCTGTGGAATATAAATAATCCTGGTCTGTAATTCTAAAGTCCATTATCTCCCCTGGGAGTCCTGGAGAAGCTGGAATCAGGAAGGGATGCTGCAGTTGGCAGATTGGATTAGACCACTGCCATCTTGTATCTGACAGTAGATAGATTTGTTTGACAGGAAACAGTTCACACTTTTTCTGATTGACACATCACTAAGCATCTTGGCAAACAACAATTTCATATATCATTTTTGTGTGGATTTTATTCTACAAAGAAATACTTTCAAATGTACAAACAGCATTGGAGTGAACAATTTTTCAGTTAACACTCAGTGTACTATATGTGTTGAACTGTTCTGCAGATTATTATGGGATTTGAACATAATTATATAAACATTGAGATAAAATGGTGAAATTTTTCCACAGATTGTTGGATAAAGTTGAGAAGGAACCCGAGCTGAAGGAGAATGGCCGACAGTTTGTCCTGTCTGTCACCAACCTACTGGAGAGGCTGCTGGACTATAGGTAAGATTTAATGGGGGGACTTAGAGAAAAGAAGGGAGGGGATGCATGGAAGCATATGCTTTGTAGACCATGTCAGTACTGTTAATATTTGAAGAGCAGCATTAATAGAGAAAAACTTTTTTCTTTCACAAAATATTGCAATTGGCCAGCCAAAATGATGGTTATATAACTTTGCATCAGGATAACTGCAATAAACTCTTAATTCCACAAGAAGGACAGGACCTTGGTCTGATTTTTTCCCCATAATTTTTATGTGATGTTAGTAAATATGTCCAACATTCTCCTATTAGATTTGAACTTTATTTAGCAATACATACATTGGTATATACAGTGCCTTTTCTAGTAACTTGGACAAAAAAAGAAAGAAATAAAAAGTTTGAAAAAATTTATCAAACACTATCTTTACATGTATAAAAAACTGAAATATCGAATAATGAACTTAAGTCCTTTGACTTTTGACCAATTGTAGCAATATTGAAAGCAAAACCATAACATCTATATTCCACAAGGAAATGTACGTGATAAAAAATGCTTCCAAATACCATCGTCGCAAACCACGGGTTTTGACTCCACAAGCTTCAAAGAGAGAATCGACGTGAATCACCCGTGGGTTACCGACGATGCCGAGTACAGGCAAAACTTTGACATCACAAGAATACAATTTTTTATAAAAAACCAAATAAGATGTAAAAACAAAGAATATCTCCTGCCATTCATGCAAAAATTATGATTCATTTTGAATTTACCTTGCCTTGCATTGACTATCACCTGTTTGATAAAAAAGTTGACCTTATAATCAGAAATATAAATGAACATGATCTTTTTGCACTAACAGATAATTGTTAGACCTGCATTGTTAGGAAAGAAGAGGAGTGGATCAATCTTTTTAGGAATTTATACATTAAAATTCTGAAATATGTACAAAAATTATACAGCTAGCTATTGACGATTTTAACAATGTTTATTGCCTCTGTTAATTAAAGGAGTCTATGACATACTATAGTCAATTCCCCTTAAATGTGGGCGAGCTCATCATCTGCAAATAAAAATAGTTACCAGAGATTTTTCTTTAATTTACCAGTGTATTATTTTCTACTTTGTGGTGTCTGTATAGTAAGAAAAGTGTAAATTCATTGGAATCTGTTTATAAACACAAGCTGTACATCTGCCTTTAAGATAATTTGTTTCATTGTGTGTCTGTATCTGTTACAATGTGGAGCTGCAGAGTTACGTGGGTATATTGTATTATATGGCTGTTTCTTATGTTCCAAAACTACTTTTAAATCCACAAATGATAAATTCATGTGAATATTTATTGAAATTTTTTTTCTTTTTAGGCAAGTTTGTGGAGGGAGGACTACAAGAGCAGTCACATGAAATGTACCTTCAATATACTGGTAGGTATTCAGTAATAATCATCGTAAAAATCTGCGAAAATAGTTTATCTACCAGTGTACAGGCTCATCTTCAGGGCCAAGACAGTATGACCACTCCATGAATAGCTCTTAACCTTTGTTTGTATTTTTAAGTGGAAATTAATTATAACTTTTGGGTGGTTTCTGGAATTTTAAGTTGAGATTAATGAACTACCGGGTGGTTCTGGAGATCTAGGTAGTGAACCTTTGTATGCTATTGAGAGCTTTGTGAGCAATGTGGACATAGAAAAATTGCAGAGTTCTGTGATGCAGTGGGTTATAGCTTGGTGCTTTAGGGTGGACAGGCATGCAGGCAGTAGAAGAGATATTAAGGTGTCATGGTAGTGTCTATGCAATTTTTATTCCTCAGTCATGAGATTTATTCTTTTATGATATTCACAGGATAAAAATATAGAAAAATTATAACCAAAGAACTTGGTCAATGATTTAATTTAGCATTGGTGCCATACCACACTTATCCCTCAGTAAGCTGTTTAATAGCGTACACTGAAAACAACATATGGTGGGCCTCTTAGAATCCACTCAACCTGCGAGAAGTTGTAAATTGTCAAACAGAATGAAATTTGATGTGATCAACTGTAGCTTAACAACTTGAAGCTTTTCTTTGGCATGGTTCATTAATTAAGTCAAAATCGTTAGACTCTGCAGGCTTCCTTTGACGACCCTCCTTAAAAAACAGAAGAGAAGAAACACATGGAAACCATTCATCTGAAAGGATGATCTATGGTGAAATACAAAAAAAAATTCACTGCCGAATTTATAAAAATAAAAATCTATTTATGAAGCCGGAGATGATCAATCCAGATTGTATTATGTAATGTGGAATGTAAAAAGGGAGATTGAATCACCCAACTAATGCTCTGTGTATATGAATTCCAGTCGATCTTCCAAGAAATTTATTCTGAAGTCATTAATTAAAGGGGGAATGAAATTTATTTATTAAGTATGGTAGTAGCAGCAACTTTGTTATTAGCGAGAATTTCAAAGAATCGCTAAAAGATATTACTTGAAATAAGTTCTGTTTAGGTGTAGGGAACATCATTCAGCATCTTTTACATTTATAGCCAAAATAAGAAAGTTGTATACATGCATGTACCAACCAGTACTTCTTTTACAAGTTTTGAACATAATATTATATTGCAAGAGTTATAAATACACCAAAAGTATGAGGGTTTATCCCTTTTCTCTATTTCTACTGAAATAGTTTAAAATAAGTCAATTTTTTGTAGAATTTTTACAAGGACAACACAAACAAAGAAGAGATGTACATTCGGTACATTAAGAAGCTGTATGACCTTCACCTTGCTGCCCAGAATTACGTGGAGGCGGGGCTGACCCTGAAGCTGTACGCCCAGCTGTTACAGTGGAGGGACACGATGAGGAAGGAGGAGCTAGACTACCCCAACCAACCAGAGTGGGAGAGGAAGGAGAGGGTCTACCTACAAATCATGGACTGCTTCGACAAGGGCAAGGTTAGCTAGGGTTTATACAGAATTATGATAGTGAAGTTTACTATAGCAGAGTAAGCAGTTCAGTACACATTCAAATAAATGAGTACTGGAACCTATCTCGAGTCTGTGTTGTTGCTTTTATTTTCATCTATAAATTGGTAAATGTCCTTGAGTTTTAAATTATGTAATAGATGGATATAGACCTTTAAAAAAGTGTTGAACCTTTTCCAGGTTTGGGAGTATGGTATTCCTTTGTGTAAAGAGTTGGCAGAGGTCTACGAGAAAAAGTTTGATTACAGGAAGCTGAGTAATGTTCTGGCAAGTACACTTCCAGGTCAAAGGTCAAATCTGTCATTCATCAACTTTTTTGAAACTGGATAAATTTCATAAAGAATGAAAATTTAATGAGTGAAAAATGTATCCTATCTAAAGGTTCTTGTTTTCCCTTATGTTTATAAGTTAAAGATAAAATGTAACTTATTAATCATTCTGTTTTGCTCTTGACAGGAAAGACAGGCAAGGTTTTTCAGTAACATACTGGATGGGGTCAAAGTTCAGGAGGAGGGGCAGGACCGACCTGTCTTCTACCCCGACAAGAACCGACCTACTTCAGAGTGGCGTACTATGGACAACTCTTCCCACTCTTTGTCAGAGTGAGTCAAAGTTTGTCTACTATGTTATACAATTAATTATGCACGGAAGTCCCAGTTTTTATGTTGGTAAGTAATGTATAAAAAACTGACTGAGAGGATTTAAATTTTTTCAGAACAAAGTGTTTATCTACAGAGGGGATGAGTGTTTGAAGCTACAGGACATAATAAATCAGCTGAAACAGGAGTACCCCATGGCTACCATCCTACAGTTCACCAACACTATAGACGAGGACAAGAAGCAGGGGGAAAACTCAATGTAGGACAGTAGTTAACTCCCTTTATGTATTAAGTTGTATTATATCTT